AATAAACTTATTAAATTGGAAAAAACTCTTAATATAGAATGATTCATATTTGACTTGGTAATTTTCGGTCAAAAAAATTAGTCGGCGATATTGGAATCGGCGAAAATGGACTTCGGCGAAAATGGACTTCGGTGAAAGTGGAATCGGCGAAAGTGGACGTCGGCGAAAATGGAAGTTACCTCCTATTTCATATAGATAAGATTATATCAATAATTTCAAGTACATTCTAATTATTTCTTGTATTCTATTAATAAGTGTCTAAAATATCAGGAAAATTTTCTATCAATGAGAAAGTTAGGATATGAAGGTTTCCTTCGCTGGTTTCCACCTTTAATTTAACAAAAAAAATAATTTAGAGTTTATTTTCTCGTCATGGTCTTCGTGTAACATCATTATTACAAATTCTAATTGAACTATATGTTCGTTGGTTAATAACAACTTCAAATAATTTGTCTTCAATTAAAATATGAATTAATACGTTCATTTCTATGTCTTTCTGATTTATTCACATCATTACAACAATTTTCTAATCTATATGATTTATGTGATAAGTATTTTTGTGCATGGTTTGATGGAGGTGATGTAATGATATCGTTGCTAAGTTATGGTTTATGTAAACCTAATATATTATTTGGACAAAAAAAACAATATAATGAGTTATATATACGTTTAACTGAACGTAATTTAAATACTTCGTTTTCTTTTAAAGATAGAACTTTACTGAAAAATAATCAATTTTAAAAGTTCAGAAATGTCACATGTTCGCGAAATCGAATATTTAGAGTGAAATACATTTGCCACATCTCGTTTAGTCAAAGTGACGGACGGAGAATATTCATACCAAATATTTCTCTCAATATGGTTGAACGCGAAACGACATATAAGACATGTCTCTTGATGAGAGTGAAGACAATATGACATACATAGATTGTCTCTCTCAACGACGCTGACATTGGAAATATAGTGGATAAATAAAAAATACCTTATCAAGAGACGACAGAAGGTGGAAATGCATGCACTTTCTAAAGAGATGCAGTATTTCTTGCATCTTTTATTCCTAGATATATGACATTTCTTAAATGGTTTATAATTATTTTAGGTAGGGTTATTTTTATGATGATTACAATTGAGAAATTTATTTGAATAAAAAAATGACAAGAAAAAAACAGAATTTAATATCATAAACAAATTTTCAATAAATGAATTAATCAATCTGAAACACTTTCATTGATATTTCCATTTTTCATCTATTATTTCATCAATTAAATTTTGAGAAAGAAAAATTCACGAGCCCTTTCAGGCCCATGACTCAGCCAATGGATGAAATTTCTTTGGGACTTTATATTTAATATGGGCAACGTATATTGTGAATATTTTCATCAAATTTTTTTAAAAATCTGTTAAGTTATTTTTTTGACGAATGCCCGTAATCCCTCACGGGGACGACGAAAACGTGTTTTGGATATTCCTGTGGGAGAGTACGGGTGTGGATCAAAACTCGATTGAGACCTGTCATAAAATCAACCTTTGCAATATCACTAGGGGTCACTCCTAACTTGATTTCAACAGGGGAAACTGAAAGTATTTTTTTCAAGCAGTCATCACCGGTTTCGACCTTACTTAAGGAGTTGAAATCAGATGATTTTGATTATTTCGGTACTCATTATAGAATAATAATCGATAACCTTTATATTCAAATTAGAAACTTGTGACTGCTTGAAAAATAAAAAAATATGATAAATTAAATGATCACTATTACTTTATTAAAGGTAATAGAACATTTCTATTCAATTAGATTTGTTTCTAATTTGAATATAAAGGTTATTCATTATTATTCTATAATGAATATCAAAATAATCAAAGTCATCTGTTTTCAACCCTTAAGCAAGGTCGAAACCGGTCATGACTGCTTGAAAAAAACTAAAAAGTCCTGATTCAATAGCCGCACATTACTTTATCGTATGTTTAAACAAAAAATATTCATCTACACTTTGTTATTCGTGTAATAAAGTTGCGATTAATTATGAAAAGTTTATTTAAATTAATCCAAAATATCAACAGCATTGCTTTCGTTTTTTTCGGCATTCTCTTGTTATTTCAATACAAAGAGCAATCAATAGTTCACAATGATCATTATATTAGATATGTTGACCGAGAATAAAAGTGAAACAAAATGATATTCGTCCATTCATTCATTATGAATTGAGACTATAGAAAAAAACGTGCACCATTATTTTCATTGACAATGTCCGTCAAATACGATAAATGAGTATATATATATATATTGACATTTATAAGTTAAAAACAGTATAGAAAAAAAAAGATGAGAATGGAACATTCATGTGTTCAATTAACTGATCTACCTGATGAAATCCTTATGATTATTTTTAAACAACTGAACAATGCCGAAGTACTTTTACTCTTTAATAGGTGTTAATAAACGATTAAATAAAATTTTACATGATCCAACTTTTACTAGTGTGTTAACGTTGATAGACTATTCTGTAGATGGTTGCATTTGCTCATTACCTTATCCAATGTTTTATCGATTTTGTTCACAAATTTTACCTCAAATTTATCATAAAATTCAATGGCTACATCTTGAGCTGTTAACTATGAATACCATTCTTCTTTCTGCAAATTATCCTAATTTATATGGACTTGGTTTATATGGTCTAAAAATGCAAAAAGTTAAATATCTCTTTACTGGTAAGATGCTTCTCTTTAATTGCTAGAAAAATGTCATTGATACCAGTGAATGAATAATGAGAAAATGTAGTAGAAGATTAGATTTGTATGTTGCAAAGTGAATTGAAAAAGATTAAAACAATCTATGTTATAATCGAAGTAATATTAAAAATGGTTCGATTTTCAATAGTTTTCAATTTATGTTTAGATGAAACTTTAATTTATAGATTCAAAAATCAAATTTCATCTCTTGTTATCGATATTGATGAAAGTGATGAAGCAAATTCACTCGAAATTATTCGACTTATATTTACATATATGTGTGTTACGTTTACTAATTTACGATATTTAAATTTCGGTCCATCTTTAAGTGAATGTCAACAATTATCATTTAGTACTTCACCTCTAGCTGTCTTCTCTTCAACTCTATCAGAATTAAATATACGTGTGTCTCGTTTTATTGATTGTCTTTATTTACTCGATGGACGATTCTATCAACTCCATACACTTTATGTTTATATTACTTTCATTTATGTACCGTATGAAACAATCAATAATAAGGTATATTATTTTGAATAATATCTTTGATTCAGATGAGAAAATATTGTATTGTTTTAGAAAAAACTATCTAATTTAAGATCATTTTCGTTGTATTGTGAGACAGATACAGAGTCATATAATGATTTAGTTGTACCACTTGGGGTGTGGGTGTGGGTGTGGGTGTGGGTGTCGGTGTGGGTGTGGGTGTGGGTGTGGGGTGTGGGTGTGGGTGTGGGGTGTGGGTGTCGGTGTGGATGTAAACAAATCCGAGTCTAATAATTACACTCACATCCACACTCCACACTCCACACCCACACTCACACCCACACCCCATGCCCATTCTTGAAAAGTTGTACTTCGGATAGACGCGCTTTCAGTATTTGTTGCAATCGAGTTGTGCAAGTCATTATCTTTTTTCTTTTATGTACTTATCTTCACAAGAGAAAAAAACCATGCATCTCATTTGATATCTTTCTATCTTTTACCTGTACAAGGCATGACTTCTCGCAATTTGTCTCTTGTGTAAAGCAACAAAAACAAAGATAGCTTTGAATTGTGAGTAGAAGAAACTGAGTTTCTCACAATAGTTCAGCGTTTTTTTTTTCAGAGACAACCATTTATTTTAACTTAAAACTATCATAAAATATATTACTCTATATTTAATATTAATAAAATGACGTCAAAAGCGATTAGTACGTTTTTTCCCATGAAGAAAAGGACGGTGAAAACTACCACTATCGAAGCCAACCATCACAACTTTTTATGGTGCGAATAAGGGATTATTTCTTGAATTTAAAATCATTAGAGCGTAGAAAAGTGGAATTCCTCATACTCTCCTAGCTTGCCAGTAACATCATTAACCTTTTGCAATAGAAAAAAATTACCGAAATTCTGAAAGAGTGCAAAATGTCACATGTTTTGTGACAATAATCAAATTAGAAAAAACTAAGGCGAACATCTACAAAAAAAGTCATGATATTTTCAAGATCGATTTTTCATAATAAATACATTTTTCTAAAAATATCTCAATCATTATTTAGGGTTTTATGTTGAATGTAAGTTTATATTCTTAGAAATAGCTATAATTATGGATATTATTAAAAGGATGCACTATTTTTACAATGCTTCATCATTCGGAAATTAATGCGAGTGGAAGTTCTTTGTAAGGTGTGAAGTGTCAGGATCTTAAATGATACAAGATAATTTATTTCCTTTCTCTTTACGAAAAATCAAATGGGTTAATCAAAGTGTCTACAATTACATTCTTTGAAAAATTGGGTGTGGGTGTAAGGTGTGGGGCGTTGGATGTGGATGTAGAGGTGCGCGAATACAAGTACAATTTGTACTCTGGTTTACTGATGTACTTTAATGTATTCTGAATCTCACATGTACTCTAAAAATCTTAGAATAGCTGCGGATGTACTTTCATATATTCTGAAAATCATATGTACTGAGGAAAAATCTTACAGTAGGTGGAAATGTACTCAGGGTGTAGGTGTGGGGGTAGGGGTGCCGATGCGGATGATTCTTCTACAATACTGCGCACTCACACCTACAGACCCACATCTATCCACACCCACACCCACACCCACAACCACACCCTCCTGTTTTTTCCGATGAGCGGATCCTTAACAGATTCCCATATCAGGGTTCCGTTGATGGATTTGTCGCCTGGTTTCGTTATAAATCCGATGATATCCTATGGGTTTTTATCGAAATCCGATAGGATTCCGATGGGATCTCATAGGATCCTAGTCGGTCCGATTATCGAATTAGATCGCCTGGGAAGTCAGGGCCGTTACCCCGTTCTCGGGTAACTAGAAAGAGTCGCGTTACCGTTACTCGGGAACGATAACGGTAAGTTTCCACCACTACTTGTTAATAAAGTTTTCGTGATTTCCAGTTATCCTAGACGATCCTGTACTTCTTATTTTTGTTGTTTTTAAGTTTTTTATACGTAAATATATGAATGGATGATATCCACTCTCAAACACATGCAGACTTCAGTTGTTTTTTGGATCGTTCCTTTTCCTTTCGTTTCACTAGTGTGAAAAGAAAATTAAAAAACTTATTCTGTCCTTTAACTGCATTTGTCTGTTGATAAGTGAGTATTTCTTCACAATTATAACAAAAAAAGTAAAAGATAGGTGAGTGAAAGTTAAAGTTTTGTATATGATAAATTATTTTTATTTAATATCAAGAAACATAAAACTTTGTATCAATTGCAAATGAATTGAGAGATTACGGAACTAATTCAGTCGAAAAAAACTAATACTAATAATCATTCACAGTCATTTGTCGAGTACCGCATTCTTGATGCGCACGTCAGTGTATTATTCTTCTGATGTCTTGATTATGATTTTTTTCATTGAAACCAGATATGACATACTTTTCTTTCTGGATTACTTAGAAAATAAGTTGAATATTATCTAGACAGAACATTCTTGCAGATGACAGTAGCATATATTACAAAGCTGATTAAAAACTTCACTCGGATTTGAGTCTTATCCATTGAGTAAAAACTATGTAATAGTAGAACGTAAAAACAGGACTAAACTTCGAAAAACTGTTACTTCAATGGTAATGTAGGACATAGGTTTTCGTCATTTTATACTTATTCTTATAATCTTATCTCACACCTATAAGTTATCCTCTTACTGTTTCCATGACAATGCAAGATCCAAATTATGCAGCAAGAAGAGCTATGCAACAGGATTCTTATGAGTAATTGGAATCTTCATGAACTTTCTCGTATATTTTATTGTGTGAAAGATTCATCACACATCTCAACATTTTCAAAAAGATGTTTCATTTTTCTTCGAATTGCAAACATGACGTTTTTAGGACCAGCGATAACATATTTATATCACTTCATCAGTGACTAATGACATCTAAAGGAATTTTCTCGAGGGAAAGAATTTATATTTAAAAGAGCTATTAGCGCAATCCCTACGGGATTAAAATGTGAAACACGATATAGCTGCTCTGGCTAATGGCACGGAAATAGTTTAGTTCTATGTCTGTTATAGTCTGTGGAACTGCCAATCATAGTCTAGATGTTATTCGCAACGTTGTCTGTCACGATCTATTATGTTATCGGTCATAGTCCGTGATATTTGTCGATCAGAGTCTGTGGGAACATGAGGTGGCTGGAAGACTATTTTTTACCTCTATACACTTCAACACTATCTTTTAGATCGTGTTTCACAAAATTTAGTACATTTATTTGAATAAAGAAATGGAAATTTGTAGAGTAAAATTCATGCATTTTCTGAACACGAAAACAGGACATTAAATAGTTATTTTTAAGCGTCTTAAGTGCAAAATAAAGTGCCACAAATCTTTGGAAACATAAAATATAAAGCTAGGCACATTACTAGAATTATTTTCTGTAAAGTGGATAATATGCTAAAATCACATCAAAATACACCGAATTATTGATGATATGTGCCAATTGGTTTTTTAGCTTAAGACAAAAAATAATGCGAACATCCATATGGTCGTCCTCAGACTCTGATGAGAGAGATTCTCTTCTTTCTCCACCACCGTATGCAGAAGTGACCAGAAACCAACGACAGCATCCAAATTATTTTCATAGGCCAGTTGATGTTGACAATAATATCCGATCAGCAACAGTGGCTATCAATGAAAATCACGCAGAACCATATTCTAGAAGTCATCCTTACCAGGCTATCATTATTACTGCCATTATAGTCTGTGGTATAGTCACAATAGCACTTACAGTATCTTTAACAATTATCTTTGTAAAACACAGTTCAGTTATTACCACCATGACCAGTACCACCACTACCACCACTACCACCACTACTACCACTACCACGGCGACAACAACAACGCACACATCATCAGGTTCTGATAGTCTTTTGAACTCACACTATCTTTACCGGTTTTTGGTGGTTACCTTGTTTTTCTTCATCTTAGCCAATTATAACAACCAAAAATGGAACGAAACCGCCCCAGAGTTTTTTTTGGTTAAAACGCTGCGTCTATTTTCATTAGTATACGTAATATTACAGTGTGTCCCAAAAGTCTTTTCGTGTATCTTTACTATTTCATTCCGTTTAATACCACAAGTTTTTTTTTAATTTATAGATAAATGTAGAGTTTTTATTTATATGAATAAAATTCAATATTACTGTTCAAAACTATTATGTTTAATTGAAATATAAAAAATTTGAGCTTCTTTTGTTCTTTTACAAAACATTATGTAGCGTTTTTTTCATAAACTAGTTCGATTTCCTAAATTAGGGTGTGGGTGTGGGTGTGATTATATAAAAGAATACTGAGACCACACTCACACCCACCCACACCCACCCACACCCACACCCACCCACACCCACACCCACCCACACCCCACACCCACACTCACATCCACACCCATATCCACGCCAACACCCACACCCATATCCACACCAACACCCACACCC